CAACTGTCTATAACTCCAGTTCCAGGGGATCTAATACCTTCACACCAATGCACATAAAGAAAATTAAATAAATTATTTAAAAATAAATAAATAAATAGTTGCTATTAATTATTAAATTTGTTTCCTATGATCTCAGCAGAAGGTGCTGTGTTAGTGTGTAAGCCCTGGTCCCCAAGAACACAGCCATCTCCCCTGACTGCGGAGGAATTTAGGCACGTGGGGCTCACAGCAGCTGTCCTCTCCGCACACACACAGAAGGAAGAACAGAACTACGTTGACAGGTTCCGGGAGAGGATCCTAACCTCACCCTACAGTTGTTACCTTCAGCAGGAGAGCAGAAACAACGCTAAGTGCTCTTCTGTTCAAGGTAGTTATGTTTTAGAGCACATCCCTTTCACCTTTGAACTGTTGTAAATCATATCCAGGTTGAACTGTTCTCCTTTGTCAGTGGGAGATGGCCTCCAGGAAGGACTTCCTGACACACTGACACCCAAAGGCCTTCGTATCAAAGGGCATATTTGTGTATGACCTAGTCATGCCTTCCATGTCCTTTAACTTGTCTTTTATTTTACACTTAATGGAGTATACATTATTACATCTGGAGGGATAGTGGGAAGTCTGTACTTGGTCGTTTCTTTATGAATATTTTCAGTCTGTAGTTGGCCAGCAGGAGCTGCAGGTATGGCACCTGTGGCTGTACCAGGGAGAAGAGTGAACAGCAGGGGTTGGGTCCTGAAAGACTCTGAGATGCTGAAGTCACTTACTCCACAGTTTACCTGGGACCTTATTAGAGTCTGGATCTGAGAGCAGTTTCTATAGGAAACCTGCTAAGGTGCTGGAGTTAGTTTATCTTAGTGCACTAATTTTTACCTAAAATTTTTGTTGAGTTAGAACAACTTTTGGTGATTTTAAAAACAGTTACTATTGGTAAATACTTAATTCGTTAGAAAGTATTTAAAATCACCCACAATGACTTTCTCTTGGCTGTTACCTTTCTGTTCTTCATTGTCTCATCAGGCTCTCCTCCTAAGCAGAGCAGATGTGCTGGAAAGGAGAGACGGAAGCACAAACGGAAGAGGTTGCCGGTGCCTTTGGGCACCAGCAGCTCCAGTGCCAACTTCTGTTCCCATATCAGAGGACTCCTTCCTGATGTTCAGCCCTGGAGCCCCTCCATTGTCTGCTCTCCCCATGCTGAAAGCCTCGCTTTCCCCGCAGCACTAGTAGCTCCCAGCCAGGCCCCTTATGTTCTTTCATCTTTTCCCTTCCCAGATGTGGCCTCTCTGGGAGTAGGGGACTCTGCAGGCTGGGGAGCTGCTGTTGAATGCCCACCTCTGTCCACAGGCCCTCAGTCTGTTCCGGCTTTCCCTTCTGCCTACTTGGACACATTCACGACCATCTTCCTACACAACTCCCCCATCTTTCCTCTGTGGTCAGCGTCATTCCCCTCGTATCCATTCCTGGGGGCCACAGCTTCTTCTGGAATGACACCCTTAGTACCAGCAATGGCTCCACACCTGGAACCAACTTCTTCAGACCACAGCCAAAGGAGAGTGGGGGAAAGCTGGGAGACACACGGTGAAGAGCATCCATTTATCAGCTCAAGGAGCAGTTCGCCATTACAGTTAAATTTACTCCAGGAAGAGATGCCTGCACCGTCTGAATCTCCAGATCCAGTGAGAAAGGGCATTGGCCCAGAGTCTGAGTGTGTAAGTGTCAGTACATGAGTGAGTGAGAAAATCTGGGTCCTCTTACCAAGTCAAAGGCCCAACGCTGACGGCTTCATCACTAGTGGGTGACCCCCCTCACAGCTGTGGTTAGGACTAAGCCCCGCTCTGTGTAAGTGAGAATGTGTCCCTGTCCACCTGTGGGACAGAAATGAGAGTCTTCTGTTCTTGATTCTTGGGGAAGGTTTTCACAAATTCTGTATTGCAGAATTTTTATGTGTACTAGGTTTCCTCTACCTTTTAATTTTTGATATCCAGGTATTAAACTTAATATGTTCATTCTTGTCTGGCCTCTTGGGATACTCGGTCACCTATACACAACCCAGGAGACAGATTTTCATTTACTTTCAGTGAGGGCTGGGACTGCACTAATGTGCCACAGTGT